CGAGTATAGTCAGTCGGAGAGATAAGGAACAAGAGAAAGAATTTACGGTTTCAAAGTCACGACGGACAGAGCAAGTCACAGTTGAGATTCTCCATATGAGTCAGAACAGAGTGTGTGATAGTTCGGTTAACATGGGCACAGGTTAAACACAAGAAGATCTTCTAGACTATAGTCAAATGAAAAGTGGGTGCCCGAATGTGGAAACATGACGTGGATGTGAGGGAATCAACACGGTTCAGACAAAATTGAAAAAACAAAGCTTTATAAAACTCCTTACAGTAGGAATACTGTGACTGTGAGATACTGTTATCTCAGTCTTAACTGTGCCATATAGTGTCGAACATATCACAATGTCTGACGTGAGCCGTAACATTTCCGGAGGGTGAGTTTCTTGGAATGACAAAACCGTAACGAGACAACACGTGGTACCAGTAAAAACGAAATGATTCACAAGTTAGGCATAGCTGACCCCATGGACACCGACGGAAGTTGATTTTAGTGTTGAAGTGTCCAAGCTTGCAAACAGTGTTGTTCATCGAAATGCGATGAAAATGTTTGTAATAACCGACAGAGAATGCACTGGACAGCTGTTTCGTCCTGTTTTTTGGGACTCGTCAGTACTGTCTCTGAGCAATCAAAGTGGCTAATCCAAGCTTGATGTTCCAGATTGTCTGAGCCATTCACAAAAGGTGATGATAACCGCCGACCGTGTGGCTCACGGGTAAGGGTTTGAAGTCCCGACCCGACTGATCGCGGTTCGAGTCTTGACAGAGACACAAAAAGTACGTATTGCTGATAAGTCTCAAACACGGTGAAACGACTGACCAGTGTGCTCTTTGTCGGTTATCAAAAACATTTCCGTCCCATTTGAGAGCATGTACCTTGTAGGGAACTAATGATCTCCTCAGAAACAAAACCCACACCCAACACCATCGAGAGTGCCTGATGCCTCTGAAAAATCGAATGGACTAATCCAAGTTTAATGCTCTAAAATGTTGTTCATCGTATAGATCTCCAGCCAAATCAATTGACTCTGACGTAGACTGTACATTCCGTATCTTCGTCAGAGAAATAAACAAGTTTACACACGGCGTGTCTGATTTGTTTATTAGAAGAACTGAAATTTGATGAGCATTGAATGCGGAAGACGCGAACACGTGATCCTGACGCGCGTCAGCAAATGTGGTCAGATCGATCACGGTGAACGGGGTGATGCAGGAGCGCCGAGCACGCCAATTTCACAACAACAACCAAAAGCACCTAGTCAATGTATACGGATGTTGCATATTCTGTCTCCTGCAAAACCTTGTCAGTAGGCATGTTACAGTGTATACAAATGAGTACTGAATGTGGAGAATATTGTATCTTGAAGAATTCCACACGGTTAAAAATTTCTCAGGTTAAACTAATCTTGACTGACCCTCCTCTAGGTTCAATTTTCAGACACATTACTCAGCTTCTACAGAAACCTGTACGCTCGGGAACCACAATACTAGATTTTCACTCACATCAGGTTTACGAAGCCTCGCATATTCAACCGCATAGCGGCTATTTGGTTCTCGGATACCTCACGTAGAATTCGTGTGTGTTGTCACTGCTCAAACTGAATGGCCCGAAACCTTCGATGGGAAACGGTAACTGTCCCGTAAATTGCGATCGAACGTATTTGTTCTTATTATATATCCAATGAAGTAGTCATGCAAATGAGGCATGAGCTGAAAAGCTAGGAAGCACTGGACAACTGTACTGACCTGGTTGAGTCTCATCAGTCGTGCGAATCCATCGACCCAACTGGGGATTGATCCCGGGAGCTCACAAGTAGAACTCAAACAAACATGCTATCCACTCGACCACCAGGCAGCTGATCAGACCCTATCACACTGCGTTTTGTGAAGATTTCCAACTGAGTCATAACCCTGGAAGTTGGTGGCGAGATGAACGAGGCCCGATTTCCGCAACAAGCTCGCAACGATGGAGTGTGCTATATCGTGTAAATGGACTGAACTTGGACCTAAAGTGGAGGCCAGTTGCTTCGTGTATGGTTGTATGTATTCGTCATTTTGTTTGAGCCCTTTCATTATTGTTTTCAGTTGATGAGAACAAATAAAATCGAAATATTTAATGATCTCTGAGGGAAGAGGAAGAAGAACAACTCCTATGGTCGATTCATACGGGGATGTGATCACTAACGAAAACGGTATGAACTTATTTCTGTCCGAAATAAATTCTTTATTCCTCATTCCTCACCGAATGTGAATGGCCGTCCACACAATGAGAATTGTGTGTCTCAGTGACTGACAAAAGATCAAGGGACCGGGGGATACAGACTGACTAACTGGAGGCTTTGTATGCAGATCCGATGCAACGCAATCGGTGATCCCGTTAACCCGAATACAGAGCCATATCAATTCAGTCGCGCAACAATAGTCAGCCGCCGATTACACACACAATCACATCTGACGTTGTCTACCATTTCATCCTATACACTGGATCACAAGCATTGCGTAGTGCCACATGGGACAAGGATACTAAATTTGTATTCATTTCGTCAGCAACAAAAATACATCTATGTGAAACAGTGGATGACCTAGGGGCGTAGAAACACAGTGCAGGAATGACGTGTTACAATTAATTCCGTTAGAACAGGCTTCAATATTTCGACGAACAAGACCAGGGAATCGCAATTCTCAGCTCTTCGTTCTTCGCAAAAGCATCATGGACATGTGAATCAGGGGTGGAGTGGGAGGGGTGAAATGAATAGAACATGTCTCTGCCGAGTTCACAACACTATCAATGCTTTTATTTTGGAACAAATTGAACAAATTTGATAAACAAGTGAATGGATTGCATTTCGACGCTTTGTAATTGCCATGGTAACTGTCTGTCTGTGCACTGCAATCCTGGTTCGATGAAAATGTAAGAAGTTCACTGCTGATTGTTTACAAGCTCTATGTGCTATCGCAGAGTGGTGTTGAGCAATCGATAATGTGACTGTCTGTGTGTGTGTATGTGCGTGTGTGTGTGTGTGTGTGTGTGTGTGTGTGTGTGTGTGTGTGTGTGTGGAGGCGGGCGGGGGAGGAGGGTGGAACATACGTGGAGTGGAAACTTTTCGTGAATAATGTATGTTTGGGAAATGTATCCAGGTTAAGTGACCTAATGTGTGTGACCAACCGGGAGGTTCTGCGACACCATGACACTGTACCCGGATGAACTACTGATTTGGGAATATTGAACATTAGAATTTCTTCATTTTACTCCCAATTTATTAATACACATATAATACTAACAATGATACTTTTACTTCCTTCCCTAAACATACAAATGTATAACAACTTTCAGTAAGAGGGTGGGCTGTAACCTATCAAGGTACTGCCTGGGGACACAGTTAGAAGTTAGAAGTTTCACAGCGGCGATAGGATTCAAATATACGTCCAACAGAGTGATCTTCTCCGCTTGGCCACTGCCAGGTCACATTTCTTCCCATATCAATCATTAGTGTTTTGTCAGCCTCAGTTATGATACTTCGTAACTCTCTGGAGGCAGAAAGTATGCCTCCCCCCGTGGTGGGGGGGAGGGATCACTAGATGAGTTAATTGAAATTGTAATTATTAATACAAGCCAGGCACTCGAGAGAGTGTGTGTGTGAGAGAGAGAGTGAATTTCACGAAAACGTAGCTAACCGCCTAGAATGAATGACGTGTGTATTGCGTCGATATCGTGCAGAAAAAGATGCTATTCCAACCATCTGCAACGCGAAGGAACGGAAGAACGAAAGGCCTCAACGTGTTCATATGACCCTTTTGAATTTTGGCTGCCCATCCCGGGTTGCCAACTAACAAACATGCTACGGGAAAATGCACTCCATCTTGGATTGTTGGTCCGTGGGTAGGTGCTGGTCAGGTACATAGGGCTTTCTCTTTCCGTCTTAATATCATGTCAATTGCAGTATAAATTAACTCATGTTTTCACCTCGAATTCCATTGCTTTTCAAGGCCTTTCAAAATGGTTACCTAAGGCTTTTTTGTGATGAACAGCAGATGAGGTAAACCCCGTGGTCACGAGGAGCTGCTGTTCAGTGATGGAAACCGGTGACCGGTAATCCCCGGGACTTGGAGTGGCGAACCACATAAGGCCCCGATAGGTTAGACGTGGTGTTGAACCGGACGATAGCAAATCTGCCTACCAATAAAGGTGGGTGGCAGTGGCGGGGCTCGAACCTCGGGCCACGGGGTCCAAAGCACACCAGTGATCGCGACTAAACCACGGCTCCACCAATACCACCACAATCACCACCACCGTGAGCACTTCCTGAAGAACTGACTTTTGAACAGGGTTATGATCTTTTGAAGGAAAACATTGATGATCATAGACCTATGTGCTCGTTAGAGTTACGCACACGTACAAAATACAGTGGTTCAGTAGCTCCTGGGTTCTGGAGTGAAACTGGACCACACAGCGGCTACAAAGGCAGTTGTTCACGTCCGGACAACAGAATACCAGGAGCAATGAACCCTTCCGACTAGTTAGTTTGCTATCGTTGTCAACTGACTCGGGGTGTGCTGAATACCGCGGAAAACACTTTCTCTTCAAAAGGACAAATATGTGTGTTTGTAACTGCGTGAGAACTGCTTCTTCAAGAAGATATGTTCTCCTAGAATACTTATTTCGTTGTTAACTTCGATCTATATTAATTCGGACCTGTTCGGTGCCAGGTTTTGATGAAATCAGCTACAGTACAATAGTCTGTGTTAAAAAAACCCCGGTAAGTATCAGAAATGATTTAAAGTTGTTAGGGATGAAAATGTATTATACAACCTACTGAGGAGTAGTCAAACGGATGTGTGGCCATCTGAAATAGGGATGAGTGAGTTTCGCAGACTCATGCTTCAGTTAGACTGATAGTGAATGGTTTTCGGCTCTCTCTCACTCACTCACGCACACACACACATTCAAGTACAAGTCATTCGTGATTTCATTTTCCAGAGATCCGATAATTTTTTTCAGTCGTTCTAACCGTGAGCATTATTTGAGAATGAAACAAATGAGTAACTCACCCGCTCAAAAACAGTTGTGTTATCCGATCCAGCTACGGGGGATTTGCGAACAGCGGCCAAATTTGGAGTTGAGCCAATTTTGGCCACATGTTCGAAGAATGACTGGGTGTCTGTGATATCCGGTTGTAGGGTCGTAAGATTGGGATCACGTAAAGTCACGTGAACGGTGAAATCGGTGGATCCGCGAGGAGATCGACTAGTGTTTGCAGCAGATCGACTGGTGCTACACACAGATCGACTGCCGGGTGACGGGTCTCGAGAGAGCGATGGAACTTCCAGCTGTGACCGTGGCGGGGTACGGGAGTGGGTGGTGGAGGCGGAGTGCCAATAATTGACACAGTTAGTAAACATACATACACTAGCCAATATTTCCAATCTGCTAATGATACTTTCATATGGCTAGCAGCTAACAGATGGGTTTTGTGGAAAGCGTGCAATTTATCATCATCATCAGTTACATCACATTTTTGCACTACTCAAGTAGATCTATGGAGTTCTGATTCGTTTTGCGAGGCAGAATGTCCAGACGGGCATCGGAAAATCCAAAGTTTTTTTTTCTTCAATTTATCGTGCGAAAAACCTGTTCCAATAAGTTCATGCTCAGGTTTTGCATATTTAATGCAAGGGCGATTAATCAGTTCCAAAGGAGTCAAACTTAAAACAAAACAAGTGCCTGTGAAAAATCGAACGGTGCTGATTCAAAAATCACATCAGCAAAATTACTGCAACCAGACGATGAAGCCGTTAGCTGTTAGCCAGGAATTCGGCCCACATCTCTAAGGTCCTCAGTTCGTGTCCTGACAGAAACAGAAGAACGTGGCGATTGTTAATGAGCCTCCCGCCCCAAACCCCGAACAACATGTAGAAACCTGTTATCCGGTACTCCGGGGGTTAGCGTTCTGACCGGATTCGGCTTTCACGAAAACGTTTTTAGTGAAAAGATAAAAGCTTCACACGTTTTGTTGTTGTTGTTGTTGATACGTCTGTGTTACATGAATAAGTTCAGTTCATAGCGAATCGTTTTAACACATCAGGGTGATAAAATACTTGACCAGGATAAGAGTTTGCTATAGAACAATCATCGTCATCATCAAAGTACAGCGAGATACAGTGAAGCAAAGAATTTCACTGATCGCTGCCAAGCTCACAATATACACAAATCAAGTGATAAAGCACAAGATGGAGAGGGATGAGACCTAATTGGAGGGAGGCAAAGAAAGTGAATGTCTAGGGCCAACACACGGAGTACACAGTCTAAGTGTGTATACATACATACCTATTCAAGCATTCTGACTTGATAAGCTATGACAACAAGAACAATGGAATAGTATAAACGACCGACAGAGTGTCATCACCTCACTGAATCAAACTGTTGACTCTTAGTCCAAATAGACTTTGCCGAAACGGAAAGAAATGGAAGATCTATTTTTGTTTTTTCACTATAACAACAGCAATAATAACCAGACTAACGAAGATCTATCAACTTCAACTGGCAGTTTAGAATCGGGCATAAAAAATCACTTATGATTGAAAACGTGGGAATACAGAGGAATATAATCTCGATTGAGACAGTGCGGGAGAAAAACGGGTAGGAGACGAACAATCTCATCATGTTCACGAACTTCTCAAAACGTGATCCACCACGCGTGCACTAATACACGGGATTATTAACAGGGGAGTAGTTCACAAAACAAGACGGAATCAGCATGATCAACGCATATATATATATATATATCCATCTGAACAGGTCGAGGACGGCGTGCATCATGAACCGACATAACTAGTGACCTTCAAGTTGACCTCGTTCACACATGTGATCCTTTTTTGGACCTTATCGTGGGATGAATCTTACGGTATAAGACCATCTGTGTGAAAAATTGAGGGTACGTAGTAATCAGTAAGTTCTACTGATAATGCTATCCGACCTGTTAATGACATGTTCGAGAGCTATCGATTGTGACTGACCCTCCATCAGATTTCATCTTCAAGGCACAATATTCCATCCAACATGTCAGTCAAACAATTGGGACCCCTGACACGAATCGGCTCACTTTGGCACTCATCTAAGCTAAGCTTGTTCGGACGTCAATTAACCAGACCGTCAGTTGATTGTTTGTT